TAGCTTGGCATCGATTATCGGCGGAAGGCGGGTCGTGAGAACCGATGGAGGTGGGAATGTGGTGTACACACACACACACACACACACACAAGACTACTGATACTACATTGTACAATACACTTGTAGGTGTCACAGTGGCACTCCTTTTTCATATAGACTGCGAATCTAAGTCCTCCAGTCATATTGATCTTACAAGAAGCCTTGTGAGGACAGCGTTGTCAATGACACAAAAGAAAACAGTGAATCTTCATATTTAAGCTTTGAACTACACTAATAAAGCGGGACCATGGAAGCGTGGTGAATGTCACGTCGATAGTAACGCTTATACTATCGATTAGGGTAAAGGTACTACTACACAAATTTGTATCATAAGGAAGGGTTGTTTTTATCGTTTGTCGCATTCTCCCTTGTTTAAAGCAACACAACAAAGCATTTCTTGCTTTATTAGAGTTCCTCCCGATGTTGAGGTATTCATCTTTCGTGATGATACTGTGTAGTCGAACATTTGTAATTCTGTAAAATATCAAGCAAAATATGTGCCTCATTGGGAGGGTGCCCTACATTTGTAATATAGGGTTATCTCAATGCGGCTGGATGTGTGTCTCACTGGCACTTAATACTAAGAGACAGATATCTCACTGAGGCTGTGACCTACTGGATGTTTTCTCACTGGGACGGGTTCCTAAAAGAGGGTTATCTCACTGAGGCTGTGACCTACTGGATGTTTTCTCACTAGGACGGGTTCCTAAAAGAGGGTTACCTCACGGAGGCTGTGACCTACTAGATGCTTTCTCACTGGGACGGGTTCCTAAGAGAGGGTTATCTCACTGAGGCTGTGACCTACTGGATGTTTTCTCACTGGGACGGGTTCCTAAGAGAGGGTTATCTCACTGAGGATGTGACCTACTGGATGTTTTCTCACTGGGACGGGTTCCTAATAGAGGGTTATCTCACTGAGGCTGTGCCCTACTGAATATTTTCTCACTAGGACGGGTTCCTAAGAGAGTGTTATCTCACTGAGGCTGTGACCTACTGGATGTTTTCTTACTGGGACGGGTTCCTAAGAGAGGGTTATCTCACTGAGGCTGTGTCCTCCTGGGAGTTTGTCTCATTGGGACGGATTCCTGGTAGAGGGTTGTCTCACTGATACTGTGTCTTACTGGAACTGGCTCCTAATAGACGATTGTCTCACTGAGGCTGTGTCCTATTTGAGGTTTGTCTCATTGGGACGGATTCATAATGGAGGGTTGTCTCACTGAGGCTGTGTCCTATTTGAGGTTTGTCTAATTGGGACGGATTCGTAATAGAGGGTTGTCTCACTGGGGCTTTGTCCTACTTGAGGTTTGTCTCATTGGGACGAAGTCCTTATAGAGGGTTGTTTCACGGAGGCTGTGTCCTATTGGAGGTGTGTTTCACTGAGACGGATTCGTAATAAAGGGTTGTCTCACTGAAGCTTTGCCCTACTGGAGGTTTGTCTCATTGGGACGTATTCCTAATAAAAGGTTGTAACCCTGATGCTGTGTCCTATTGGAGGTTTGTTTCACTGGGACTGATTCCTAATAGAGGACTGTCTCACTGAGATTGTATTCAACTGGAGGTGTGTCTCATTGGGACGGTTTCCTTAAATAGGGTTGCTCACTGAGGCTGTGTCCTACTAGATGTTAAATTTTCCTACCGGAGGTTTGCCTCACTAGTACGGTTACGAACGTGATGGTCGTCTTACTGGATGTTTGCACTGTATGAGGGTTAGGGTTGACTCGCTACAGAATAACATGTTTTGCGCAAACTTGACAGACCTGCACTATTCTTAATTATGGCGTCGAAAAAGACGTATGATATGCGATTCTGAAGTCTTATTTCGTGTCTGAATCTCGTGGATCCAGTGGGTCCTCAAACAGCATACGGATCAATCCCCTGGATCCTGCTGGCAAAGATTTGGCGTTCAAATGAATCTCCTTTGCACTATCATGGTGTAGTGTTCCCTGGATACCATGAGCTCAAAATTGACGCACGGATCAACTGTCTGTATCCAATGGGTCATTAAATGGTGTACGGATGAGTCCCTTGGCTCCCCTGGACACTACAATGACGCACGGATCGCTTGTCTTGATCATATTGGTTATTAAATGACGTGCAGATGAATCCTCTTGATCCTCTGGGCACTTAAAAGGCGCACGGATAAATGGCCTTGATCATGTGGTCACTAAATTGGGGCACGGAGGAATCTCCTGGAGTCTGTGGTCACTAAAATGGCTTGCGTATGACTCCCTTTGATCATGTTGGCACTTGAATGTCACACGGATAAATCGGCGTGCGTATGACTCCCTTGGACCATGTGGTCACTTAAATGGCACACGCATGAATCTGCTGGATCCTGAAGGTACTAAAATGGCGTTCGAATGAATTTCCCAGATCCTGGGGGCACTACAATGGTGTACGGATGTTGATGAATAATTCAGCGGATAACGTGTCGTCGTCTCCCTACAGCACAGTCGATTGCATCAACCCGAGAAACCATCAACCTTACAAAGTAAATGTCAGCTAATAACCGAACTTATTAATCTAATCATTTTGAATATTGTTTTGCATTAGTTTGAATGGAGTCGGAGTAATGTATGCCGTCGTGTCGGTGTTCGTGTGAGCCGGGCGAGCAAACCGCCAGTAAACGAGAGAAACACCATTACACCGCTAAGGTATCGATTTTAAACTTGAGCGAACGTAAAATGACATGCATTTCATTACAGCCATCGTCAGCATTCTGCTACAGCTGTACGTTTGATGTGTCATCAAAGCGAAAGTATCTGTAAAACAAAAGCCTAATTAAATTTCATACTGCTGTGATCACCGGTACGACACAAGTAGATTTTGTACTGAGGAAGGCACGGGGTGTTAACCATATGATAAAGACATCATGCGGCATCAACGCCGCCATTTATACCGACTTACGTCTAAAGTAATATTATAATTTAAATGGCTTTTCGTACGAGCCGTATTACTTGTTAACATATGTCGAAATTGTTCGGTTATGAGGCGTTGTATGGGTATTCACGTATACAATATCTAAGTTGTCACGCTTAAACACCGTTAACAATAGACATTATGATTACACAAAGCAGGTGGGTGTTACATATGTAGCCCCGGTCCTTCATGTAAACGAAGTTTGTATTCAAGAAATAATTCACATTACAAAAAAGATAATAACATTATCCTCTTTCATTCATTCATGCATTCATTCATTCTTTATAACATGTAGCCAAAAGCCCTTAGGCTTATAGGTACATACATGTATACATATAACATTATCTAAATTATCTAATTAAATTCTGCCGATATTCCAAAAATAGCTAAAATTGTTGGTATTTTTGAATACCGATACATACAGTTCAATAGCTAAAAGTAATTAATAAGCTCCAAAGAGAGGATCTGATCAAAAGAGAAATATTCCAATTCTTTAAGATGTTCATGCGATTGTCATATAACTGTTTCACCCCCTATAATTTCATCGCATTATATTTATAGTATCGTGAGTGACTACGTCTTAACGAACAGTTCTGTTGCCATGCCTACTAGTTCATGAAAGGTTACTTAAGTACACGAGTAAAAAAGAAATGCCTTTAAACTGACGAGAACAGATGAAAATCACATTAGTATTGGTATTGTGTTTACTTAAGACGTGGTAACCCGTGTGTGGCTACGATATAGAGCTACGTGTACACGCCATCATTAGACACAGTTACCACGAACTGTCAGATTCTTATGCAGCCTGGCTCAGCCGGTTTTCTGGTCTTATTGCGCAATGACTACAACCGGAGACGGAAATAGAGCTTGTTTTCATGTTTATATAACGCTAACCGTACAGATCATGCACTAGATATGCAATACAAATATCATTGTATCCCCCAAACAAAGTATAGGGTATTTTGGACTTGGCGTGTCCGTCCGTCCGTCTGTCTAGAAACACAGTTTCGTCCGCACTACTTTTGAACTGCGTAGATTTGAATGTAACAGTGTGACGTGACGGTTATTACAACTTTGTTCTCAAAGAGATACGACAGTATTAGTTCTGCAGCTTTCAGTTCTAGTTAGAAACAGCGGATAAAATTCCCAAAGATATCTTTACACTAACCACAGTAAATTCCGTTTGTATTCCGACATGCACAGGGTGATTTCTCCTTAAATACCGTTAGTGATTTGGTTGAAGCATATCGATGATACTTTCAAATCATTTAGTATATTTCTTATAATTCTCTATCTATGGAATACTCAAAGTGGACTTCCATGTCTTGCCATTAATCATGCCGCTTCCTATCGTCCCAAAGCGCCAAACTGAATCATGGATAGTCTCATTGAAGATTGCTCCAAAGTGATGTTGCATGTATGATCAACGACCTCCACCCTCCATCTGTCCACTCGTTTATTACCACCAATGCCGATCACAGCAGTCTCGTTTTATACATGGTTCATTTACATTTATAAACGGCGGCGACGTGGACAAGTACATTATTGTAGCAAGTACCAACCCCCTCCCCCTCCCAATGGCGTGGCCTTGACCCCGTGTTATTATCTTCTTTGCGGGTAGCCAGCACCAAAGCTACCCACAACGATGTGACCTTGACCCTGTGTTATTATAAATATCAAAGTTAGCCAGCATCAAAGCTACCCACAACGATGTGACCTTGACCCATTGTTATTATAAATATCAAACTTACCCAGCATCAAAGCTGTACCTACAACGATGACCTTTCCCCCTTTTTTATACATTACTGTTAAGCGACATCAAAGCTACCCACAACGGTGACCTTGAGCCCGTGTTTTTACATTGTATCTACATTACAGCAAACAAGCACCAAAACTACCCAAAATGGTGACCTATAAAACAGGCAGCCCCTTCCAACATGGTCTACAACTCTGACCTATAATCAGTGTTAAATTCTACATTCCAGGTACTCAACACCAATACTATCCACTAGTTCATGGCCCCATTATATTTTACATTGCAGGCACCCACCAGCACCGCCACCACTTCCCAGAGGTATTTTCCGAGGAGGACCGCCTCATCAAGTACCTACTACGTATCAACTCGGTACGCTCCCTATACAGTAGACCAGTGCTGAATTATTCTGATTCTGTAAACGTGAAATTCGGATTACAACTCATACAAATCATGGACCTAAACGAACGGGACCAAGTGCTCACCCTGAACGTCTGGTCTCATTACGTAAGTACCCGTTTTATATACGTCACTTCATTATTGAGAAAAGGATGATACAGCACGTATACCGGGAAATGTTCGCTGCAGTTTTATTATCTCCCTTTGACCTCCGTAATGAGAGCGAATTTATCATTACAACGAACTAAAGTAAACAGCATATTAAACATAGTAATTAAAGGTGGAGGGCGAAAGCTTGACTTGGCGAACATTTTCCGGTATTCGTGTATTTACTATATTTACTTATAAACATATCCTATAATGTGTGGTACAATAGCAGTCCTTATATACAAAGATTATGTAACTTATTTTGGTCACTTTATAGTTTTGAATAGGTCTTATGCCGGAATAGGCGAATTTACGTTTTGCGACGAACAATTCGACCGTCAATAGGAAACCTTCGGAAAGTCACATCGAAATTCCGACTCGGCAGAACTACGTTTCTGGTCTCTCAAAGGATGACATATACACATACTAATCAACAAACAATTACCCCAAAACATGGGTCTGGTTTCTTGATCGTATGCAGGCATACTCATTTCAGTTAGTTTGAGTAGTATTTTTATCTAGAATATTTATGATCATAAAGAATAAATGTAGTGATGCAAGCTGATATCCAGAATATGTTGTGATATAGGTATAAATGTATATACTTTATACGGCACACAATGCAACGTGCACATGTAACACAGAAATGAACACCCAACAACTCCAAGTGAAACACAGAAATGAACACTCAACACCTCCCCGTGTAACACAGAAATGAACACTCAACACCTCCCCGTGTAACACAGAAATGAACCCCAAACAACTCCCCGTGTACCACAGAAATGAACCCCAAACAACTCCCCGTGTAACACAGAAATGAACACCCAACAACTCCCCGTGTACCACAGAAATGAACACTCAACAACTCCCCGTGTACCACAGAAATGAACACTCAACAACTCCCCGTGTACCACAGAAATGAACACCCAACAACTCCCCGTGTACCACAGAAATGAACACCCAACAACTCCCCGTGTAACACAGAAATGAACACCCAACAACTCCCCGTGTACCACAGAAATGAACACCCAACAACTCCCCGTGTACCACAGAAATGAACACCCAACAACTCCCCGTGTACCACAGAAATGAACACCCAACAACTCCCCGTGTACCACAGAAATGAACACCCAACAACTCCCCGTGTACCACAGAAATGAACACCCAACAACTCCCCGTGTACCACAGAAATGAACACCCAACAACTCCCCGTGTAACACAGAAATGAACACCCAACAACTCCCCGTGTAACACAGAAATGAACACCCAACAACTCCCCGTGTAACACAGAAATGAACACCAAACAACTCCCCGTGTAACACAGAAATGAACACCAAACAACTCCCCGTGTAACACAGAAATGAACACCCGACAATTCAACTCCCCGTGTAATACAGAAATGAACACCCATTCCGTCACTTCCTTTAATGACCTTAGCTGTTAATAGGACGTTAAACAAAACTAAACAAAGTCAAAAATGTAGAGACATCCACTACCAATAAGTCAAATACATGTACATTGTATAGAGATGTCCGATATCACCTATACCCGCTATCACCATGTCTAATATAGAGATACCCAGCTACCACCCATTGAGATCTAAAGATACCCGCTTCCACAATTGTAAAAATTGTAGAGAGATCCACTACCAACGAGCCTAATATAGAGATACCGTACTACCACCTTTTGTGATCTTAAGATACCCGCTACCACAAAGTCTAATATAGAGATACCTCGCTTCCACCACGTCAAATAAAGAGAAACCCCGCTAACACAAAATCTGATATAGAGAAACCCCGATACTACAAAGTCTGATAAAGAGAAACACACTACCACCAGGTCTAATTCAGAGATACTTGCTACTAAAATGTTCAATACAGAGATACCCTGCTATTACCAAGTCTTATATAGAGATACATGTACCCGCTACCACCAAGTCTAATATAAAACATACCCGCTATCACCATGTCTAATAGGAAACCTACCCGCTACCACCAAATCTTATATAAAACATACCCGCTACCACCCATTCTAATATAAAACCTACCCGCTATCACCAAGTCTAATAGGAAACCTACCCGCTACCACCAATTATAATATGAAACATACCCGCTACCACCAAGTCTAATATAAAACATACCCGCTATCACCAAGTCTAATAGAAAACCTACCCGCTACCACCAATTCTAATATGAAACATACCCGCTACCACCAAGTCTAATATAAAACATACCCGCTACCACCAAGTCTAATATAAAACATACCCGCTACCACCAAGTATAATATAAAACATACCCGCTACCACCAAGTATAATATAAAACATACCCGCTACCACCAAGTATAATATAAAACATACCCGCTACCACCAAGTATAATATAAAACATACCCGCTACCACCAAGTATAATATAAAACATACCCGCTACCACCAAGTATAATATAAAACATACCCGCTACCACCAAGTATAATATAAAACATACCCGCTACCACCAAGTATAATATAAAACATACCCGCTACCACCAAGTATAATATAAAACATACCCGCTACCACCAAGTATAATATAAAACATACCCGCTATCACCAAGTATAATATAAAACATACCCGCTACCACCAAGTATAATATAAAACATACCCGCTACCACCAAGTATAATATAAAACATACCCGCTACCACCAAGTATAATATAAAACATACCCGCTACCACCAAGTATAATATAAAACATACCCGCTACCACCAAGTATAATATAAAACATACCCGCTACCACCAAGTATAATATAAAACATACCCGCTACCACCAAGTATAATATAAAACATACCCGCTACCACCAAGTATAATATAAAACATACCCGCTACCACCAAGTATAATATAAAACATACCCGCTACCACCAAGTATAATATAAAACATACCCGCTACCACCAAGTATAATATAAAACATACCCGCTACCACCAAGTATAATATAAAACATACCCGCTACCACCAAGTATAATATAAAACATACCCGCTACCACCAAGTATAATATAAAACATACCCGCTACCACCAAGTATAATATAAAACATACCCGCTACCACCAAGTATAATATAAAACATACCCGCTACCACCAAGTATAATATAAAACATACCCGCTACCACCAAGTATAATATAAAACATACCCGCTACCACCAAGTATAATATAAAACATACCCGCTACCACCAAGTATAATATAAAACATACCCGCTACCACCAAGTATAATATAAAACATACCCGCTACCACCAAGTATAATATAAAACATACCCGCTACCACCAAGTATAATATAAAACATACCCGCTACCACCAAGTATAATATAAAACATACCCGCTACCACCAAGTATAATATAAAACATACCCGCTACCACCAAGTATAATATAAAACATACCCGCTACCACCAAGTATAATATAAAACATACCCGCTACCACCAAGTATAATATAAAACATACCCGCTACCACCAAGTATAATATAAAACATACCCGCTACCACCAAGTATAATATAAAACATACCCGCTACCACCAAGTATAATATAAAACATACCCGCTACCACCAAGTATAATATAAAACATACCCGCTACCACCAAGTATAATATAAAACATACCCGCTACCACCAAGTATAATATAAAACATACCCGCTACCACCAAGTATAATATAAAACATACCCGCTACCACCAAGTATAATATAAAACATACCCGCTACCACCAAGTATAATATAAAACATACCCGCTACCACCAAGTATAATATAAAACATACCCGCTACCACCAAGTATAATATAAAACATACCCGCTACCACCAAGTATAATATAAAACATACCCGCTACCACCAAGTATAATATAAAACATACCCGCTACCACCAAGTATAATATAAAACATACCCGCTACCACCAAGTATAATATAAAACATACCCGCTACCACCAAGTATAATATAAAACATACCCGCTACCACCAAGTATAATATAAAACATACCCGCTACCACCAAGTATAATATAAAACATACCCGCTACCACCAAGTATAATATAAAACATACCCGCTACCACCAAGTATAATATAAAACATACCCGCTACCACCAAGTATAATATAAAACATACCCGCTACCACCAAGTATAATATAAAACATACCCGCTACCACCAAGTATAATATAAAACATACCCGCTACCACCAAGTATAATATAAAACATACCCGCTACCACCAAGTATAATATAAAACATACCCGCTACCACCAAGTATAATATAAAACATACCCGCTACCACCAAGTATAATATAAAACATACCCGCTACCACCAAGTATAATATAAAACATACCCGCTACCACCAAGTATAATATAAAACATACCCGCTACCACCAAGTATAATATAAAACATACCCGCTACCACCAAGTATAATATAAAACATACCCGCTACCACCAAGTATAATATAAAACATACCCGCTACCACCAAGTATAATATAAAACATACCCGCTACCACCAAGTATAATATAAAACATACCCGCTACCACCAAGTATAATATAAAACATACCCGCTACCACCAAGTATAATATAAAACATACCCGCTACCACCAAGTATAATATAAAACATACCCGCTACCACCAAGTATAATATAAAACATACCCGCTACCACCAAGTATAATATAAAACATACCCGCTACCACCAAGTATAATATAAAACATACCCGCTACCACCAAGTATAATATAAAACATACCCGCTACCACCAAGTATAATATAAAACATACCCGCTACCACCAAGTATAATATAAAACATACCCGCTACCACCAAGTATAATATAAAACATACCCGCTACCACCAAGTATAATATAAAACATACCCGCTACCACCAAGTATAATATAAAACATACCCGCTACCACCAAGTATAATATAAAACATACCCGCTACCACCAAGTATAATATAAAACATAC